TTCGACTTTGAACCTCAGAATTTTAGAAATGACAGCAGCTGGTATGTACGTAATAAGCATCTCCCTCCCTCGCCCAACCCCCAACCCGCTCCCCCACCCCCACCCCCAAAAATAACAATGACACAACGACAACAACAACAGCTATAACGAGCTAAACAGATAGCTTCATTTTGTATCCTTTAAGAAGAAGGGATAAATGTATAAATCCTTATGTTTTGAGGCCTTTGTTTGTTGGTTACACAGCATTTTTTCAGGTGAGCCAAACTTTTAGAATTGTTCTAGATGACAGAAATGTTACATACATAGGAACGTGTGCCCTGATGGTATATTATTTTCAAAGTTCACAAATGGTTTTCATAATCCCTTACGGTAGTTTTTCATTACCGCAGGCACCACCGCTTTCCCGAAATCCCCCTCCGCCCCTATAATTATTGAGAGAACAGAGAGATCATGTTAAATCCCCCATCACTCTCACCCTTTCATCTCTAACCGCCTCTCCTACCCGTACCTCCTCTTACTCCCCTTTGGATGCTTCTAGACCTGCCTAGCAAGTAACTTCGACTTCTCAAATTTAGCCAATGAGGCATGTCGAAAGAAGTGAAGTTAAGATGATGTAAAAAAAAAAATGGAATGGGCTTCTACTGGTTGAGTTCATTAAAAAATAAAAACAAAACAAACGAACAAAAAAAAATGGATGCAAAGTTCCATTCTAAGCGAATTTGTTGTATTTTATCGAGAGAGAAAGGAGGGCAAGAGAGTTTGTTTCCCAAATATACCTCTATTGGCGTTGTTTAATTTTTGATTTAAACTTGACTCACTTTGGGAGTGCTACTATCTTTAGTTTAGATAATTTATGTATCTTATTGTATTCTTGTAGATTCCCTTTGGCGCACACGCATTTAATTCTGAATGTTTAGGACAAAGGTACGACACTTCGTGCAAGCGAACCTCTCCTTACGGCCGACTTATAATAAGGGCACTCATCCATGTCTGCCCCTTTGGTGTCATGTACTTAATAGTGTATCCATGTTATCCAAACTATTGCAATGCCCTAAAATCTGATTATATGAGGCAGCCCGATTTAAGCAGATAAATGAAATAATGCGCTGAATGGGTAGATCTTTGCTTCGAATCTCAAAGCGAAAGATGATGGTAGCCATCACTTTATGCCCACTGTCAGTGTGTGTTTTTCTTTTTTTAAGGGAGCTATTCCAAATGTATGGAATATCTCATATGTCTATTTTAACGAGGGTAATATTTTGTAGGTGTCCTCGTATTATCGTGTCTCACGCATACCCATACCAGTGGAAATCAAACTGCAAGGGAACAGAGCTTGGTTATCGCATTCATAGTCCTGATTACTACAGAAGTAAAAAGAAAATGTTTAGCTAGGCTACTCTTTCACTTAACTGATGACCTTAATTTTTTTAAAATCTGTTTAAGACAGAAGAACTCCCTACGTTGTAACTTACCGTATAGTCCACATTCAGTAGGGTACGTTTATGGAAAAATAAAAGAAAGATCGGAGATAAATAAACAAATGAAAACACCAACAAAATAACAAAAAGATAAAAGTTTAAGCAAGGTTTTCAGAAATGGCGAGACTCTCAACCTTCAAAGTTAAGGGCTTAGTGGGAACAACACTTGTCCCTTGTTGCTGTTGCTTGTTTCGTTTTTTTTTTTTTTTTTTTTTTTGTTGTTTTTGTTTTTTGCTACGTTTTGATGTAAGTCCTGCTCCTTTTTCGACTGGAGTTTCAGCCGCCTCCAGCATCCTTGAAGCTGACTGAGCTCACGTTTGATACCGTTAGGATTTTGGGAGTTAAATTTAGTTAAAATGACCTCCCAT